GTGGATCCTCTTCTAACCAGTTCGGTAGATTGGACAAACTGGTTCTACCAAATAGGTGCGAACTGGTAGGAACCCACCTCTGCCGCAGATGAAACAATAATTAGAAAAGTACTCGAATGTGGAGAGATGGACAAAATGACAATAGAACTAAAAGAAAGAGAAGAATCGGATTTCTGTAAAATTTGGAACCGAATTTATCACTGGCTAGAAAACAGAAGCCAAAACAGAAAAATAGAGAATGTAAATATAATGGTGATATAAATAATTAATATTATCATAAATGTTACTACTACTGTTGTTATATTATAGGACAAAGCAAAAGCAATAGGAAGGCAATGCAAAATGGAGAACTAGAAAGGCTAAATATGAAAGCCGATACAGAAGGCTGTATAATTGCTTTACATTATTATGTATGTTTTGTGTTTTGTTTTTTTTCTTGTTGTGTCTTTCTTTCTGCTTTTAAAGATTAAAATGTTCAATAAAAACTATTTAAAAAACAAAGGCCTTATGACGTCACGTCTGCCATGGTCATTAAGCAATTGACCCACAGTCATTATACAAGACATCACATGACTATGACTTCCATTTTGCTGATGGCTTATCTATTGACTCTGCTTGTTGGAAGCCAGCTGAAAAGTGCTGGTATCTCAACCATAAAGATGCTGCAGCAGTTGTTAAGTGCTAGGACTTACTTTTTCAGCACTGTTGTAATTCCAAATGGTTGCTACACAGAGCAGCCATTAAGTGAGAACTACCTGTATACAACAAGGGGTGGGGCATAGTGGCTAAGATGCTGAGCTGGTCGACCAGAAAGGTTGGCAGTTCAGCGGTTGGAATCCCTAGCGCCGCATAACGGAGTGAGCTCCCATTACTTTTCCCAGATTCTGCCAACCTAGCAGTTCAAAAGGACATAAAAAAATGTAAGTAGAAAAATAGGGACCACCTTTGGTGGGAAGGTAACAGTGTTCCATGCACCTTCGGCATTTAGTCATGCAGGCCACTTGACCATGGAGACATCTGGACAGCGTTGAGTCTTCAGCTTTGAAACAGAGATGAGCACCACCCCCTAGAGTCAGAAACGAGTAGCACATATGTGCAAGCAAGGGGAACCTTTACCTGTATACATCCAGGGCCAGATTTTCCTATAGGCTAACTAGGCTTCAGCCTAGGGCCTCAAGATCAAGAGGGGCCTACATTCAAATTNATCTACAGAAAGTTCTGGATGAAAGCGTGAAAATCATTAACTACATTTTTATGTTTTTTATGAGGGGTACTCAGCGTTACGAAAATTATAGAAGGGGTACACATATGTCAAAAGTTTGGGAAACACTGTTCTGGAATGGTCATGGGGCCCGATCGGGGACTTACCAGATGGTCGTCATCGGAATTGGTTTCACTTTTCCCCGAGAGAGAGGAGGGTTCTTCTTCCCCTAGGTTGGGAGGGAATTCTTCAGCAGGATCCACCCCTTTCATGGAGATGTTCTTTCGTTTCCCAGGTTATTTGTCTGGCTTCCTCTCCCCAGCGGCAGGGGACTTTGTGCCAATTTTTGAGCGGCAGTTCGCTGCTCGGTGCCCCTCCTTCCCGCAGCAGAAACAAGCAATAGACCGGGGCTTGCTTACAGACCAACTTTTTCCTCCCTTCAAAGCTCCCCTGAGGGGGGGGATTTTTACCTTTCTCACTGTCTTCCCGGTATTTATCCCTGGCTAGGTTGATCTCCACATCTGCTGCCAATTCGTACCAGCGTTGCAGGTTGGGGGGGGGGAGGCTGTTAACACAGTTCTGGTATATATCTTGGTTCATGCCATCCATAAAAGTGTCCATCAAAGCTTCCTCCGAATAACTCCGCAAACACACCAACAGTTCACGAAACTCTTGGATGTATTCAGCCACTGGATTTTTTTCCCTGAGTAAGGGTTTTCATCTTGGTTCTGGCCTTTCGCTTGGTGAGCGGGTCATCAAAGCGTTTTCTCAGGGCAGCCATAAACCTATTATAGTTCCTCAGCAAGGGGGAGTCATTGTTATGCAGACTGACCATCCAGGCTGCCACTTTGTTCTCCAACGCCATGGTAACAACTCTTACCTTGGCTTCCTCATTTGGGAGATCCTCCCCAAACTGTTGCATGAAATTCCAGACCTGCACCAGGAAAAATCCTAGCTCCTTTGGGTCCCCTCTAAATTTCACTCCAAGAGGAAGAACTTTTGCCATCCGGCATCTGTGGGGGACTCCTCCCCCCCTTGGAAGGGCTCTTGCGGCTGCTGCTGCTGGGGCTCTCCCATCCTGATCAGCTCCGCTGTCTGCCCCAAGGGCTCCCCGGGTGACACAGATCTCTCTTCTTGATCAGGGAAATCAGCTTCTCTTCCAGACCTGCTCTCGCGAAAGCGACATTTCTCCCAAGCCTCCTGGAAGAGTTTCATAGCGTGGGACATCATGAGAGCTTCTTCTTTGGCTTCCTGCCAGGAAGCTGCTGGTCGCTGACGTCGGGTTGTTGTAATTCCAGCCAGAATGTCCTCAAGATCATACTTCTGTCCCACTCCCAACAACCACCTGGGGCGAACAGATCTTTCCTCCAAATTCAGTTCCACTATCCACTCTGTCTCTAAGAGACATGATGATCCGGCAGCCCCCATGTTGTTGTCCTGGTCGCTGCCCGAGTTGGACATTTCTTTGAAGGTTTTGTTTTTATTACACTCCCCTCAGAAGGTGTTAGCTCCGCAATAAGTGCGAAAGTGAGACCTTGCTTATTGTCAGGTATGCCTCCTTCAGCAACCAAGAAAGAAACCACTTAACTCCATTTGTAGAATTAAGAGTACTTTTACTGGTTATAAAAGATAGCAGCGAAGTAAAGCAAGATCTGAAGCAGAAACATGCAAAATCATACATACCAAACATTTGCCCAATCCCTCCCCTCAATTCCCCAATCCAGTGTCCAATCTGCAACTCCCTAAGGTGTCATGTGGGGTGCATCTTCAAACAACCTCATCAAATTGGTATGCGAGACGGTTGGCCTTGACCAAGTCCAAACATCAGCATGAAACACCAGCATGCACAGAAGATGGTGAGAACAAAACTCCTCCAGTACAATATTATTCCCTTCCCCAATACCATGCAGCTTTAAGCAAATAACCAAAACAGAGGCTGACATTGGCTTTGAGAAATAGATGTATGAGTGCTGCCAACATTGCTGCAGAGCTTAAAGGGGTGGGGAGGTCAGCCTGTCAATGCTCAGACCATACACCACACACTGCATCAAATTGGTCTTCAGGGCTGTCGTCCCAGAAGGAAGCCTCTTCTAAAGAAAGATGCACAAGAAAGCCCACAAACAATTTGCTGCAGAGAAGCAGACTAAGGACATGGATTTCTGGAACCATGTCCTGTGGTCCGATTAGACCAAGATAAACTTATTTGGTTCAGATGGTATTAAACGTGTGGCAGCAACCAGGTGAGGAGTACAAAGACAAGTGTGTCTTGCCTACATTCAAGCGTGGTGGGAATGTCATAGTCTGGGGCTGCATGAGTGCTGCCGACACTGGGGAGCCACAGTTCATTGAGGGAACCATGAGTGCCAACATGTACTGTGACATACCGAAGCAGAGCATGATCCCCTCCCTTTAGAGACTGGGCCACAGGGCAGTATTCAAACATGATAACGATCGCAAACACGCCTCCAAAACAACCACTGCCTTGCTAAGAAGCTGAAGGTAAAAATGATGGACTGGCCAAGCATGACTCCAGATCTAAACCCTATTGAGGTTCTGTGTGGCATCCTGAAACGAAAGATGGAGGTGCACAAGGTCTCTTAACATCCACCAGCTCCGTGATGTCGTCGTGAAGGAGTGGAAGAGGAGTCCAGTGGCAACCTGTGAAGCTCTGGTGAACTCTATTTATTTATTAATTAATTAATTTATTAATAAAATTTATATGCCGTCCTTTGGGACTCTATACCCAAGAGGGTTGAGGAAGTGCTGGAAAATAATGGTGGCCACACAAAATATTGACAGTTTGGGCCCCATTTGGACATTATCAGGGGGGACAGCACATTTACACTGTTATAAAGCTGTATACTCACTACTTTACATTGTAGCCAAGTGTTGTCACATGAAAAGATATACTTTAATGTTTACAAAATGTGAGGGGATGTACTTCTGTGATATACTGTATGCCTAGGAAAGAATTGTTCCCAGTGATTTTAATAGAATTTATTTTTCAGGTAAATCTGAGTTAATACTATATGTTAAATTTTTTGAATGTGATAAAAGTTTTGCTTTCTTGTATGAGGCATATTTTTTTTAATGCCAGACAAACAAATGCAGTTTTAAAATCAGCATTAAAAACTGGAATGAAAAAGGAATTCCATTCATTCTTTCATTCATGTACATATGCATGTACGTATGTACGTACATATGTATGTATTATTAGCAAATTTAAAGTAAATGTATTAGGAGATTCAATTACGCACTTCTCACATTATTTGGAATCTTACAGGTTTTATTTAAAGAGGAGAATAATTTGCAGCTTCTAAATTTTGCAGTATATAATATACTGTTATCTTTTCACAGTCACATGATATATATTATTATTATTCCCTAACAGATGCCTTTGCAACTGCCAAGATGTTGTGCGAGCAATATTATCAAGTAGCACCTGATTTGGAAATTGAAGAATTCAATGGTACAAATATAGATATGATTGCTTTTTAATATTAAGTATCTGTCAGAAATTGCAAGAAATTGTTAAATTTAATAGCTGGATTCATTTTTAGCTGAGAACCGTGTCAGAGTTTTCTATGGTGCAGAAAATATTTTTTCTTTCCATTCTACCATTTCTTTCTTTTGGATTTGATTTGATTGATTGATTGCTTATGTGTCATCCAGTTGGTAACAACTTAGCAGCCACATGCATTTTCTCCAGGAGAATCATGTCCTCGGCTTGGTCCATTGTACAGCCATTACTGCTGTAATTAAATCCATTCCCTTGTTGCAAGTTGTCCATTTCTCTTTCCTTGAATATTTCCTAGTATTATAACCTTCTTTAAGGAGCTAATTTAATTTTTAGCTGTTGTACATTTCTAGTAAATAATATAAATCAGAGAATTTATAGTTGTTTGTGTTAACTTTAACTTTAATTCTCAGTTAAAAGTTTTATTTGCTTTTTAGCTAAAGCACCCGGCAGGCCCATTCAGGTTGTCTATGTACCCTCGCATTTGTTTCATATGCTTTTCGAATTGTTTAAGGTGAGTAAACTAACATCAAGGGAAGGGGATAGATATTATTTGGCTTATTTTTGAGTTTGCCAGAAATAATGTTATCATGCTTCACCCTGAATATAGCCGTAGGTACACCTTTGAATACAATATTGTCTTTGATAGCAAATTGTGCATGCTAATTAAAAGTCAGACTTCAGCAATAGATTTTGACAACATGGGGAAACTTTTAGATGCTAAATGTTTTGCCGTCTGAAATTGGAAAATCACCTGTCCTGTTTCATTTATTATTTCATAAAAATAGTTAATATCAGATAGCCCATGGAATGGATGGATGAAGGTTGTGGAACCTCACCTCCAAGGAATTATTTGAGTCTTCATATCTTGGCCCTACTTTCTGCTTTGGAATAGTGATTTGGTATTTCCTGCTGCCTCACCTAATTTTCAGGTTGTGCCCCATCCTGACATTCACTTTTTAAATCCTGGTTTATAAAAAGCGTATGGCTCTCATACCTTATTTTGCTTTTCTGATGATTAAAAGGCAAATCTAAATTAATTTCCATAGTACAATCTCCTGCTCACATAGCATCAAGGTGTAGTTAGATGTATCAGCCTACCCATGGGATATAAACTAATAAAGTTTATAAAATTATATAAAGAAAGAAAAATGATGTCAACATTAAATTTAAAAATAATGATAACTTGGAATATATAATTTTAGATACAGAAATATTGTTTAACATTAAAAGTTAATATGCCAAATTATATCAGATCGATAATGTGACACAAAAGAAATGAATACATTTTTCTGCAGCATCAGCTCTTCCACATGGAGTCTGAATTTTTGTCACTTTTAAGTGGTGAAAACCCCGGGAAATGAGTAGTGCCTAGATTAGAGCAGTTATAAATTTATCCTGTTGTGAGTGAAGAGGGACAGCATCTTTCTTGAAAGGCACCTCCTCCACAAAAAACCATTACTCAATCTGGATATTTTAGACAGTAATACACAATGCAACCTCCTCTTTTGGAGGAAGATTATTGAGGCTTCAGATCTGGAAAAGCTGATTATCTGGGCCCATTTTATTCAGGTTTCAGGTCTGAGGTCTAACATGAATAAAAAAGGATTGCTATTGTGAATAACACAATATTATTGTATACAGCTCTTATAAAACTCTGATGGTATAAATGGACTAGGATCAATGAATACAATCCACTTGGTATACTCTGTAAATTTAGCCAAGTGTCTACTATAGTATGTTAAATGTTTCTAACTGAAGTGCTATAAATCCTGTCAAATAAATAAATAAATAGACATCCATAAACAAAATTTCTGAGCTTGCAGAGAGAAAGATATATCAACCTTTCAATGAAAATTCCTCAGGAGATTTGTTAATTATTCCCTTAAAATTAATACTGAAAGTACCTTTTCAAATTTTTACAGTTCTTTATTCCCATGAAATCTGACACTTAAAATTGAAGCTCTTGGAAATATTTTTTCTCTTTTCTCAGCTTTGGTCCAGCAAATTTTGTCCTGATTTTAAAAATAGAGCAACTTAGAGCAATATTTTATATACTGTACTTTAAATAGAAAAATGGGGTGGGGTATTTTTCTAGGGACATGACAAAGGATATCTCTCACGAACATGTGGATTATATGCCTACAGCTATCTACCAAGCAGACTGACTGATTGAGTTCCAATTTAAAAATACAATTACATTAATAAGAATAGGCTTTATTATAATTGCAATAATTTTTGAACAAAGAAATAGGCTTTTCTCTAATACATACTTTTGCATGACAAGAAAAAATGTTATAAAAAATGTTTAAAAATGTTAAAATTTATATAAATGATAGAGTAGTTCATAGTGTTAAATTAAAAGATGACCAGAATTTGTAAAATTTTCTGGTGTGATTATTAACATAAATTAAGGATCTTTAAGAAGTGAAAAGTTTTGCTTCAAATTGCAGAATTCAATGCGAGCTACAGTGGAGCTATATGAAGGTAAATGCAAAAGCTATCCATCAATTAAAACATTAGTCACTTTGGGAAAAGAAGACCTATCAATAAAGGTAAGTAATAAACTAAAATGTAAAAAATCTTGTTTTATTTGTTAACCGAGATAGAAAAAAACTGTATATGTTGAGTACCTTTGTGAATAATGTAGTTAACATAAAAGGGAACAGAGTGAGAAGTTTTTATGACAAGATATAGGTATTAATTACTTTTAGGTAAAATTTTGAAATTATTATGATTATTTGGCTCTCTGAATATATATTTACACATTCATTTTAGTTTATAGCGACTTCATGAATTGAGCAGGCTTTTCTAACATGGGCCACCTGCTTTTCAGTACATTATAGTTAGGATTATGTTTATCAATATTGAGAGGCTGGATATTGGACTTACTTCAAGAATGATGAATTTATTTTATGTTTTGGAATTGCTGCATCTCAGTCTTTCTACTCTAGATCTGTAAATGTAACCATTGAAAATTGTAGACAGATATGGTATATTCTTTTAATTCCTTGGAGGACATTGTGTTATATCAATTTCTGGTTTTATCCTATAGATAAGTGATAAAGGTGGTGGTGTACCTCTGAGAAAAATAGATCGCCTTTTTAATTACATGTATTCAACTGCTCCCAGGCCTAGTTTGGAGCCATCAAGAGCTGTGCCTTTGGTAAGTTCTTTTCTGCAAGCTAAAATGTTCCCCAGATTGTTTTTTCAGCATAAAGCACATTAAGCAGTGGTGAGATTCAAATTTTTTTACTACTGGTTCTGTGGGCATGACTTGCTTGGTGATCATGGCTTGGTGGTCATGTAACTGGGTGGGCATGGTTTGGTGGTCATGCTACTGGGGCCATGGCTTGGTGATCATGTGACTGAGTGGACATGGCTTGTTGGCCATGTGGGCATGGCTTGGTGGTCATATGACTGGGTGGGCGTGGCCAACATGACATCACTCAGCCGCGCCATTTTGGATGCTGCCGTTCTGTCCCCCCACTCCGGACAGGGAAGGACGGCGGCTATCTTTTTGGATGCACTTTTGAATTTTGCACCGACGCAGGTACTGGCGCCGGCTATTTGAGCCATTAGTGTCTTTGCACCAAATCAACAGCAGGAAGGGGTGGAGCTTGCCTTGAACACTCAATTGTGATTGAGGACGGAGTAAGTCATTGTGCTGCAGAGGTCAGTTCGCCGCCATCATTTAGTACTGTAACGAGTCAGCTCTCCAATTATCAGAGGTTTGCCCTGGTTTCAGAAGTGAGCTTGAGCCTTTCAAATCTCTCCCGCTCCCCCGTGAATTACTATGGCCGATTATTCTATCTCCGGAGGCAGCGATGGAACTCCCAGCTCTTTCTCGCTGCACTCTGAGACCGCTGGGCCCAGTATCAGGGTGGGTAGGTCCACCACTAGGGCCTCTAAACATAAATCACACGCACCATCTGCAGCCCTGGACAGAGCTGCCAAGTGCAATGAGAAGGCCAAGTCATCGGCCTCAGCTCCTGGGCCTACCACTAGGTCCCCTCCAACGTTAGTGGCTGAGCACCATTCCCCTGTTCCCTTGATTCTTCCAGCAGGAATCCAGGGCTGGTCCCCTGATCTTCCCACACCACTGGGGAGGGGTGCAGACGAAGGAGATTTGGGGCCCCAATCTACCCCAGATCTGTCTGCGGTGGGCCCGACCACATGTCAAGCATCCCCGCAATCAGAATCCGCGGCCACGTTTACACCCATGGCTGCAGGCCTCAGGGCCAGGGATGGGCCCGAATTTAATTTGCCCCAGAACTCCATAACATGATTTCTGGAGCCATTTCCCAAGGGGTGGATGTAGAGTTGCAGTGCAGGGCCCAGTGCCCTGTTCCTCTCAGCATTGCCTTCTATTTCTCAGGCTGATCCTCCTTCACCACCACCTTCAGCTTACAGTGAAGGCTCTATCCTTGGGGGGGAGGAGGACGTAGCTGCCCTAGAATTGTCAGATGACGATGGTCTGGTGCAAGATACACCGGCCTTCTCCGGTTTATTTCAGCCCACCTTATTCAAATCGCTTTTGTACAAAGCTAAAGCAACTACCAAGAAGGGTGGCGCCACCACTCAAGCTAGTACAGCCGTGGGCCTTGATTCCACTGACCGGTTTTTTGCAGAACAGGTGCAGGAGGAAGATGTCATATCTGTCCCGAAGCTGTTTCTGGACGTTGTTTAGAAACAGTTGTCCCAACCGATGGCTGTTCCCCCTCCTAGTAACAGGTACAGGAAGTTCTACGCTTCCACGCCTGAATTGGATGAACTCCTTCAGTTCCCTACTGTGGATCCCCCTGTAACGCCGTTGGCCTCCCCGCCTTGATCCCTTCTGAGATTTTGGAAGGTCTTAAGGCCGAGGATCGCAAGGTCGAACTGGTCATCCGCAAAATGCACCAGGCGGTTGCCTGGGCGTTAGGTGCAGCCACAGCAACTTCTTTCCTTAATAGAACTTTGCTGGTTTGGTTGCAACAGCTGCAGTCTAGGCTTCCTCCCGAAGACCTCTGACTACACCAGGATGTAAATAAACTGGTAGCAGCGCTGGAGTTCTCTTCAGATGCTACACTCAATGTGGCCAAGTTCGTGTCCCGTGCGGTAGCATCCAACGTGGCATCCCACCGGCTCCTCTGGCTTTGCCATTGGCAGGCTGATTTACGTTCCAAATGGCGTCTTGCCTCTACCCTGTTCACGGGAGGCCCTCTGTTTGGAGCTGCATTGGATCCTATTTTGATTGAAAATAGAGACAAACGCAAAGTGTTTCCTTCAACCACTAGGGGTGGGGACAGGAGACAACAACCATATTACAGAAGGCAGTCCTTTCGGGCAGGGGCTCCGGGTACAATACTGCCCCATACATTCCTCCCTACTCCAGGCCGTTCACCCAGACACAGAACAGAAGTCAGGACCGCCCTGGTACCAGGGACAGGGGTCACCAACAGTGCCAACAACAGGCCTGGCGGCCATTTCATAAGAACAGTAACCGGTCCTTTCACAGGTACCGGTGACTCACACAAGGTCGAGCCTATTGGTGGGCATCTCACTTTGTTTGCCTCCCAATGGGCAGAAACCACCTCGGAGGCATGGGCCCTTCAGACTGTGAGGCTGGGCCTCACTCTGGAATTTCTTGCTATCCCCCCGAGGCATTTCATTAGGTGTCCTATACCAAGGTGCCAGGTAAAGAGACGCCTGATGGATTCCGAAATCGACCATCTGATTTCCATAAACACTATAGAAAGAGTACCTCAGGGGGAGGAAAGGCTAGGGTTCTACTCTATCCTCTTCTTGGTTCCCAAAAGCTCGGGAGGATGGTGGGCCATCCTAGACTTGAAATGGCTCAATCTCTACCTGAAATACCAGAGGTTCAAAATGCAGTAGCTCAAGAGCATTCTAGCTTGCATCCGGCAGGGTGACCTACTGACCTCTGTGGACATCAAGGAGGCCGATACACCCATCACATTGAAGGTTCTTGCGATTCCAGTTTGTAGGGCGCCATTTCCAATACCGCACCCTGCCATTCGGCCTTTCATCGGCCCTGCAAACTTTCACGAAGTTGTTGGCAGTGATAGCAGCATCCCTCCGGTCATTTCCGATAAGGGTCAACTGTTATCTAGATGACATCTTGATCCTATCGTCTTCCCCAGATATGGCAAGACAGGATTTGCAGCTCATGATCGAAGCATTGCAACTCCACGGCTTCTTGAATTTTTCACTTGCACCTGACCACATCCCTCCTCCATCTCGGCACCGTCATCGACTCTGAATGGTGCGTGGTGTTGCTTTCCCAGGAAAGGTGCCGAAGCCTTCAGACCCTGGTGAATCAGGTGCAAACGCAGCGATCTCTTCCCCTCGTGGTCCTCTCCCAACTGCTGGGGAAGATGATCTCATGTATAGATGTTGTTCTGTGGTTGAGGTTTCACGCACATCCTCTCCAGTGGTTTTTGCTCCCATTTCAGAGTGCTCACACCAGCCACTCACAGACCAGGGTCCGTTTGTCTCTCAAGGTGCTGCGTTTGCTCTGCTGGTGGACTTCTTCAAAGATCCTCAAGAAGTGCCTTTTCAAGGAGCCAGACCACATTGTAGTAACAACAGACACGAGTCTATTTGGATGGGGAGCCCATGCCTTGGGCCGAGTGACGTAGGGTCGCTGGAGCGCCCAGGAATTGCGGAACAGTATCAACTGGCTAGAGCTTTGAGCAATCCGCCTAGCTCTCCGTGACTTTCAAGACCTGGTGACGAACAATCACGTGTTGATTCTCACGGACAATGTAGCTTCCAAGGCGCATGTCAACTGCCAGGGAGGCACCAGGTCCCAGGCCTTGATGCTGGAAGCGGAACGTCTTCACCATTGGGCAGAGATTCACCTGTTATCACTTCAGGCAGAGCACGTTTCGGGCACAGCCAATGTACAGGTGGATTGGCAGAGCAGAACCACAGTAGACCAGACAGAGTGGCAACTCCATCTGACTCTATTCCAGGAACTGGCTCACCGCTTCGACCAGCCCCAGGTGGACCTCTTTGCTCACAAGGTCATCGCCACAATCCAAGCTGCTCGCCGTCCGTCCACGACGCAAATTTATGAGGCCACCTGGCAGGCCTTTTGCAGGTGGTGCTGGACAGTATCCGTGGATCCACTTAAGTCTTCCATCCCACGGGTTCTAGACTTTTTACAATTGGGTTTGGACAAAGGTCTAACGCCCAGCACCTTACATAGACAGATTGCGGCATTATTGACTGTGGTGGGAGGAGCCCAAGGCCATTCCCTTGCTCGCCATCCGAGGGTCCGGTCCTTCTTAAAGGGCGCATCCAACCTCAAACCACCGGTAGTTCACCACTACCCTACATGGGATTTGCCTCTAGTACTTAGAGCTCTCACGGCTGAGCCTTTCGAGCCCATTCGTACCATCAGTCTTAGATTGTTGACCTTCAAAACCATCTTTTTAGTGGCAATTAAGTTCTTTAACTTAAATTATTCATAATTCTAGTTGAGTTGTCAAATAAATGCAATCACCTTTATATAGCACATATCTACACTATTTACTATGGAAAAACAGTTGGTTGAATTGACAGATCTTGCTGAGATGAATAAACTCTTGATTTTTTTCATTTCCAACAAAAAATATTATTTTTTGCATATGCATATTATTTCATAAATGGCCAAGAACCTTTGTAAATTCTTAAATTTTTAAAATCTCTGAATTCCTTTTTTTATAAAAAATATTTTCAATTTTTATTTTTATTTAATTTATTTTTTCAATTTAAAATTAAAAATAGTTTAATTCTGTAGAATTTTTTAAATTCTGAATCTAAGAGAAAAAAAATAAACATGGAAAAAGAGACACACACGTCAGGGAAGATAGTGATGAATTTTTCAAGATAGAGAGCAAAAGGCCAATAACTCTTGTAAATGATTGTAAACTGGCACTTTATAACAGGGAAATATTTATTTTTTAGTAATTTGTAGTTTTTTAACAAACAACCAAAGAAAGTCATAGAAATAGAGACTAACAATATAGTGACTTGCAAAATGTGTCATGTGTTTCAGCTTATGCCCACAGAGGAAACAAACTACCGTATTTTCGGAGTGTAAGACTCACCTTACTTAATTTTTGGGGAAGAAATCAGGAAAATAACCTTTCTGCTTCTTTCCCACCAGCATCCATCAGTATTCATCTGGCTAACATCTTTGCTGCCTTAGTCGGAGCCTGATTCCCGAAGTGGCCTGGGGAACTGCGATGAAAACCGCATCTTACTCGAGTCTGGCAGTTTTACCGCTTCTCTCTCTCAGCCGCTCCGTGCAGGGAAACACCTTGCACACTAAAGTAAAACTTCTCATGAAGTTTTTCTTTACTGTGCAAGGTTTTCCCTGCAAAGACTGGCCGAGAGATGCAATAGAGCTGCCAGACTCTATTAAGATGCGCATTTTGTGGTGGGGCACAATTTGGGGGTGGCAGGTGGGGCAAGGGCTGGAGTGCCTGGCATCCCTGCCAGCTGCGAAGAAGGGCCCGGGGCGCTGCCGGACTCTACCATCCCCTCACTTGTTGGGGCAAGAGTGATGAAGGCGCCTTGCAGACCTGGGACCCAGCAGCAGAAACTTCGCCCGGTGTGCTGCTCTCCTGTCGGCTATTATTAGGGAGAGAGGGTGCGAAACCATGGTTGCTGGCAGTGACAATTAGAGGTGTGAGCAGTGGGCTCCAAGAAGCGGCTGCCTGAGACCCTCCCAGCCCCACATTGACAGCCGAGTTCTGGCACGTCCCTTCTCCGGCAGGAAGGACCAGCATGTGGACCAGGTGCTGCTGAACTCACTTCGGGCCTGCAGTGCCTGAATGGGCATGCCAAATTAGTGAGCCATCCCAGGTGACCGTGATCTTTCAGGGAGGCGAGTCGGGTTTGGGGCTTACTACCCCAAGTGGGGCCCACGCCTGCATCACTGCTTTCTCCGGGGACCAGAGCAGAGGAAGGGTCTGAAAGACGTGAGCGACGAGGTCTTTGGGAAAAGACCCTGGTCTCCAGGCCATCTCTCCACACTTTGGATCATCCCGGAAAACCAAGCTGGGATACTTTGGCTGCCCCCGCTTGATCTCTGCCCACGGAGTCCCTTAAAGTGATAGAAAGAAGGAGGAGAAGGTCACATGGCTCTTTCGTCTTCCACAAACTCACACTCTCTTTTCAGTAGATCCGTTTCAGGTGGCAGATCTGGTCAGCTAAAAATAGAATGCGAGTCCATGGTGGGAGGAGGCTTGACAGGTGTCAGAGGGGCAGCGAACGCTTGGCGGCTCCTGAGGGGGCCGAGTCCTCCCCACTCACAATGTCTTCGCCCTGAGAGCATCGCTGGCAGCCACTTCCCACAGCTCAGGAGGTCTGTGCTCTCCTCGTTGGTACTGCTGCTCGGCCTCCTCAGTGTACATAGGCAGGAGGCAGCAGAGGCCATGACGCAGGTTTCCTTTGCTGCCTGCGCATTCCGGTTGGCCAGCAGCCGAGCTGGTAAGCCAGCAATTGGCTGGCTGCCTCGCCTCACTGCGCTGCTCTCTCACTTTTCTCCCTGCCCCCCCACACCCCCGGCTGATGATGCTGGCCAGGAGAAAACAGAAGGTGAGTCTGTAGAGGAGGGCGCATGGCTCTGCGATATGCACCGAAGAACTGGGAAGGAAAGCATTTTCAGGTGGCAGCTTGTGCTGGAGCCACCTGCCACCTGAAACACGATGCACTTTTTTGGCCCCTGCATGGCCCTTTTTAAAATTGGGGAGGGGATTGTGGTGCTGTCACCCAAAAATGCTTTCATTGAAAAGGCTTTGAACACAATTCTCCTGGCTGCTTCCGGGAATCCCCCAGAGAAGAAATTTTGGCCATAATATAGAGTTAGAAAAATGGGATAAACTATGAGAAAGAAATTATACATTTACGACGGCAGTAGCTTATAACGAAAACCTCTATAAAATGTTTTATAGATGGCATTTGCCCCCAGCGAGATTGGCCAAAATGTACCCAAATTTATTCCCCAATTGTTGGAGACGTAGTCACAAGTCTGGAACATTCTACCATATGTGATGGACATGCCCCATCACAAGGAACTACTGGTGCAAAATTCGGAAATGTTTGGAAGAAATTGCAGAGCAAAAAATAGAACTAAAACCAGAAGCATTCTTATTCGGATTATTAGATCAAAAAATGGATAAACAATGTCAATATATAATAATACATATGCTCACTGCAGCTAGGACCGCTTTTGCACAAAACTGGAAAAAAATCAATTCAGTGGTGGGTTTCAAAAAAAATTTGGAACCTCTTCTGTAGGTGTGGCCTGCTTTCCGGGTCCACTGGTGGAACCTCTT